CCTCTCAGAGGCAAAGGAGAGGGGGTAATGAGCTGGGGGGGGAACAGGAAGAGAAGCAACATTTGGAATGCAAATAAATAATTTAATTAAAAATAAATCACCTGAAAGAAGGGTTTCTGGGCACACCTGTGTGTGTGTGCATGTGTGTGTGTGTGTATACACATGTGCATGATGAGGTAGAAAGGCCTGTTCACCATTCTCTACGCCAGCTCCTAGGCTGTATAAAGAGGAAAGAAAGTGAGCTGAGCTCCAGCATTCACTGCTCTTTCTTCCTGACTGTAGGCTGGACATGACCAGTTGCTTCAAGTTCGTTTTTGCCAGAACGAAGACACTCACCAGCCCCCTCCAATCCTAAACTAAGACACTCAACACACACACACACACACACACACACACCCCGCCCTGAAGTAAGACCCCAGGAAGAAGAGACAGACGCTAGGAGCACTAGGAGGAAACTTTAATGTCTTCTTACTGCTTTATCAACGTCATGGAAAAAATACAAAGTTTAGAGTCTAGAACCAACCAGGTAGATTTAGGGGAGGGGTGTGTGTGTCTGCGTGTGCGCGCGCGCTGCTGGCCAGAGGCACAGCTCTGTAGCTCTGTCAATGCCTACCTTCGTAGGAGCACCAGTCAGGAGCCCAGTGAGCATTGCAGGGTCAGAATCTAGGAGGCCTCTGGAAGCAGAGCAGCCCATGGCTGGTCACCATGTGGCCAGACTCTGCTTGTAACTCAGCTTGCTCTCTCCCCAGATTCCACTGCCTATGCTCGACCAGGGAGTGGGTCAGCCTGCTCCCAGCACAGAAAAGGAATGAGCCATCACCCCCGGAGCTCAGGCCCCTGCCTCTACTCATGTTCTGGGTAGAGTTACAGGAACTGAGCAAAACAGATTTCAGAAAAACAAACAGGCAGGAGCGGCAGTGCACACTTGTAACCCCAGCTCCTAGGGAAAGGGAGGCTTGTTATGGGCTCGAGGCTGGCTTGGGCTACAGAGTGAGACTGTATCTCAAAAAAGCCAAAAACAAACAAATAAAAATCCACTTTAATTTCCCTGGAATTCAAATCAAATACAGTCCTGTTTGGTTTCATGTTTTTGGTAAGCCTGGCCCATAGCCCAAGGAGGGGGCAGTAACAAGGCAAAGCACAGCTCACACTCTGGGGAATAATGTATCACTCAAGCATCCTCTTCCAGAACTTTCCTACACGGTCCTCCTTCAGCCATTAACAGCTATGGAGCTGGGGGTTCAGGGACAAATACTAGTGGCGGCTGCCCTGCTACAATCCAACCTCAGCAGGGTCTGTACACCCAGACTGAGGTCAGATAACAGTCACTCTGCCACCAATACTGTCGCTATTTTCCTGGTAGGGGTTTTGACAGTGCTCTATTCAGGTTTAAACATAATAACAAGGAACGAACACACACCCACGGGCAGAGCCAGCCCCTTTTCTGTTCCTAGTGTCACTGAGGAAGGGGTGCTTCTTGAGAACCCAAGAAGCTAGGAGCTGGGGGGTTCTTTCTCTGCCCCATCCCGTCCTGGCCCTTGGGAAAGGCTGCATTTAGTGTAATAGTTGAGGCTGTCCCCTGGCTCCAACTGAACCCCAAAGAGCACCAGTCTTCCAGTGAGGAGCCAGGGGTGGAGGAAGGAGGAGCCCAAACATGTGGGCACCTCTGCCTCCTGCTGCATAGACCTCCCTGGAAGGCACCAGACACAAGGTGAACAAAAGGAGTCAAGTGCCCATGACCTTGGAGAGAAGGCCACACCTGGCTGCCCTGCCATTGCAGCAACAACTCAAACTAACATCTGGCATCCATCTGAGGCCAGGCTGGAAGCAAAGGGCCTGGAAGAGAATGGATTCCTGCTGGGACTCGGATCTGTCCCTGGCTGGTGTGGTTAAAGAAGGATGGGTCAAAGTCAGGCTGCCAGGTGCCAGTTCCCATGCTACTTCCCTGGCACCCCAATCTCTGAGGTCCAGGGTCTACTCCAATGAGGCTCTTTGCTGCACCTACAGAGTAAGGTCAAAGGTCATAGTGAAGGCAGCAGCAGGGAAAAGATGCAGCCTGGAGCTGTGGAAACTACTTTCAACTTTCTGTCCAGCCTCAAACTCGGATCTCATCTTCCTCCTCCTCATCCATGAAGGAGAATTCCTTGTCTGGCTGCCTTGGGGGAGCAGCCACCACCCTGTCTGGGCCTCTGAAAGCTGGGCTGCGCTCCTCAAGGACGCCTGAGGTGTAGCTGGACAGGGAACTGCTGTCCCGAGTGGTGTGGCTGCCCACGCTGCGTGCTGAGCTGGGGCTGGGGGCTACTGCCGCCCATCCATCATCCTCCACAGCGTTGGGGGGCAGCATGGAGGCCTGGTCCCAGTTGGCCTTGTTTTCCTGTCTCCTTAGAGAAGGAACTACCTCCAGCATAGGGGGCGCCTGGACAATGCCGCCGGGGCCTTCTTTGTCACGGTAACCGCCACCTTCCTCCTCCTCCTCCTCCTCCTCAGAGCCCCACTGGTCCTTGTCCATGATGCTGAGGACGTCTCCCAGCATGGAGGGCCCCAGGTCAATGTGGAAGGACAGGATTGACTCAGCATGCTTCAGCCCGTAGCTGACTTTGGGCATGATGGGTAGGTCCATCAGGTCCCCAAAGGCCTGCTCATCAAGGAGTGGGTCAGGTGAGTGGGGGCCTGTGGCCCCATTCCGACGGGGACTCTTCGGCCCACCATCTCTAGCATCTGCCTTCTTCACAGGGCTGGACGACAGGCTCTTGGGCAGCTTGCTGGAGTCCTTCTCGGTGGCTTCCTTCTCATTGAGCTGAGGCAGGGACATGGCATTCTTGACAAACAGCGCTGAGTCCCGTAGAGAGCCCAGCATGTCTCTCTGCTCCCGATCCCCTCTGGTTACAGACTGTGAACGTTTACTGCCCCGGAACTTCCGGGACAGGAGGCTGAGTTTGGAAGATGAGGCCTGCTCATCCAGGGACTCATCATCAGCCTCCCCGGCCTTGCTGGTGAGGAAAGAGGTGTCTCCAAAGGCGTCCCCAGCCCGGCCCACATGCATGGTGTGGCGGAAGTCACCCAGCGGGGCACTGATCATCTCAGCTGTGAGGTCCGCTCGTGAGCGGCGCTTCGAGTTCACAGAACTGGACACCAGCTGCTTGAGAATGGGCATCGTGCTGGCTGCGGGTGGGGGAGCTGGGCACTCCCAAGGCAACAGGCAGGTGTGGGGTCAGCTCTGAAGTCCAGCAAGTGCAAAGGGTAGACAGGGCAATCAGAGGGCTGTAAGCAGAGAACAGGAAGCAAAGGGTTAATACAGACTGGTAACCCCCAAAACATTAATATATGACATCCACCCACCAAAGGTCAACCATTTAACCCCTGCTTTCCCGTCAAAACTATTGGAAAAATCATCCACAGAGGGTTCCTAACCTCGCCATTTCTTCATCCACGTCTCCTAAACATGGAAGAGTATTTATAAGTTGAGTTAGAGTTTTGTACTAGAGACATATTTTCTCTGAAACCTGAGTGGAAAATAATTCCCCCCAAACCCCACCCCCATCCCTGCCTAAGCTGGAACACTGTTTGAACAAACCGCCTTCATCGGCAGTAGCAGGTCCTAAAGATACTGAAGCAAGCGGTTCCAGACTGCTGGTCTGCAGGCAAGCTCCAAGAACTTCCTGTTTCTAACCTGAATCCCTGTAGAGTTGGACACCTCAGCCTGAGTCAGAGAGAACGGAATGAACAGGCCAAGCCCAAATGCTGTCTGTCACTTCCATACATGTAGGCAGTTGGCCGGCCTGGCTCTCTATCTGAATCAGAACTGGGACAGATATGTGGGAACCCACGGGACCAGCTTAGCTCCCTGGCCTTCTGGCCCTCGTGGGGGTGTCCCATACATGGAGACTCTTGTCTGTGACATCACTGTGAGGCCCCAAAGCTCTGTGTAACAGGCTTCATCTCTCATCCTTTGGGAAGATGAATGGAAAAAAATCCCTCCTGGTTTATTATTAGGGCCAAATGACTTTATTTTGGGATATGCAGGACCATGGGTGACTAACTAGAAACCCAAAGGACAGCACAAGGAGATGTCTGGTAAGGGTTATGGTGAAGTTCTGTGTCAGTGTCCCAAGCCAGGCCCTTTCTCCCCAGCAGAGCTGAGCAGGAGAGAGAGAGAGAGGATAAGAATTTAATAAGCAGAGTGGGCAGTGGGTGAGGGATGGGGCTGGATCCCCAGGCGTCTGTCCCTTCCCCATCCTGCTGACAGCCAGAGAGCTAGGTCTTACCCAGACCCACCTATCCTACTTGCAGACATCAGACAGTGAGCCTGGGAGGGTTTGGTTGTTGTCGCTGTCACACGCTAGACCATCCCGGACCACCTGTCCCCGACAGTCGCTTTGCTGGTCCTTCCTGGCTGCTAGCATTTCTCACACTCCTGTTCTTGCTTTCTTAGCTAAACAACCAAAACTCCCCACCCCCAAAGAACTCTGACCACAAGTCCACAAGTGACACTCTCTTCTCTGCAAACCTCCCAGAACCGTGTCTGCTGCTGGCCTTGATGTCACTTGGTTGCCAGCCAGCAACCCTTCCCTTGCTCTCTCGACCCATTCTTGGGCTTGATACAAGGGTATCCTCTTCCAACACTCCACCAGCCGGTGCCACCAACATCCTCAGCCAGGATAACACTGCTCCAAGGAAGGCCTCATAGCTGAGGCTAGCCCTCCAGGACACCCGCGTCTCATGCCATCTTCTGGCAGGCACCTGTTACATCACCATGTCCCTGCCAGCTGGATGCTAACCTCCCTGCCAGGCTAGGGGATTCCAGAGGGTTCTAACAGGTCTCAGTTCTAAATCCTGTCCAGCACCATGTGTCACATAGCTGAACTTCACTCATTTAAAGTGTGGCCAGCTCTTGCTCCCCAGTCCCTGAGTATCTCTCCCCTTCTGCCTTCACATCAGCCCCTCTCATAGCATAGCCTCTGGGCTCCTGGCTTGACTTCTCTATGCCCTCTGACTCCCTAGATTATATAATTCCACATTAAATAGCCACCATCCAGTGTGATGACCACCTCGCCAGGGAGAGTGGATGCCCCTAATCAACCCCAAGAAGCACTGCTGGTCTCAGAGCAAACACCAAGGGGAGCCAGGGAGAACCCCAAGCCAAATGTTGAGGCTCTTTAGCCTAACATATAAAAGGCCCAGGGAGATGGCTCAGTGGGTAAAACGTGTGCCACTTAAGTATGAGAACTGAGTCCCAGATGCTCAGAACCCATGTTAGGCTAGATATATCTGCATCCCAGAAGTGCTACAGAGAGACAGGAGGCAGAGAGAGAATCCACAGAAGCTTGCAGGCTAGATAGCCTGGCCTACACCATGGTTAACAAGAGACCCTATCTGGTGGGAGGCAGTCCCTTAACCTCCATACATAGACTGCGGTGTGATATGTGTTTGATTGTTTTTTTGTTTTGTTTTGTTTTTTAATGTGTGTGGGTCTTTTGCCTGTATGTATGTCTGTGTGCCACATGCATGCAAGTGCTCATGGAGACTAGAAGAGGGTGTTGTATCCTTTGCAACTGGAGTTGTAGCTATGAGTCACTATGTATAGGTCCTGGAAATCAAACCCGAGTCCTCTGGAAGCACAGCCAGTGCTCTGAACAGCTGGGTCATCCCTCCAGCTCCCTGCCCCCCAATTAGAAAGAAAACAAAAACAAACAAAAGGAAAAGAAAAGGCGGGGGAGGCCTGGTCTCTGTCATCACAATGTGATCCCGGCAATCCCTCGGGTTGGTTTCCTTGCTGCCCGTGACCAGGAGGGTGAGACGGATGGGGGCTCCTCAGAGTGCTGGACCCCCCCCCCCCCACACACACACACGTGCTGCTGGGACACCAGGCTGCTCTTCCATCTTACAGAGGAGAGAGCACGATCACTGAAGAGGTGACTCAGCCTCAGCTGGGTTCACACCCCAGGGAGGCGTGCCAGCCTGGGGCGGGCACCTCTGAGGCTTTCTTCTGATTCTGGATCCTTAACTAGAGGGATGCTCACTGCCCACCAATAATGGAGCACCCTTCCTACCCAGAGAAGGCGGGAACCTTGTGTGGTCTAAGAACAGCCGTATCACTCTAGCAAGGCCTGAGGATGCTTGGAGCCAATCAGAACATTTTTTTTTTTTCAGTTAGGGGTGGTGTTGGCTGAGTTCTATGTAGAACACTCACAGCACCCCTGGTCTCTGTTGTTAGAGACCAACAGCACTCATTCCCCACATCCTCCACTCACGGCATCCCAAATGGCCAGGATACTCATTCTCTATATTCTTTGAGAGGTGAAACTGAGAAATGCTTTCCTAGGGTTCCTAGGGTAAGATTACATGAAACAGGAAACAGGGACATGAGGAGATAGAGGCCAGAGGCCCAAGATCACACCAGCTTGTGGAAAGGCTTCACAGTAAGTCCAGGAATCCCCCTCAAGACCTCTGGAGCTTGCTCATACTGTGGTTTCCCATCTGAAGTGCTCATTAGAAAGAAAAGGAAGAGGAAGCACAGGCTCAGCAGCCCAGGATTCTCCAGAAGTGTCCCCATGGCCACCCAGATGGACCGAGGACCCGGACCATAACAGTTAAAAGGATAGGGGAATCTATCATCATCCAGTTAGTAACCCCACCCCCAGCACTACTTTGCCAGTAGAGCTATAAAAAAAAAAAATGGGGATAGTAGGGACACTCAGTGACAATTACTGTAGCACTCCATCCTAGGCCAGACCTTGTGCCCCCTCCCCCTCTGCCTCCTGAAGAAGTGACAGGCCTATGCAATGCCATCCACATCCTGTGATCTTGCTCCTCAGGCTGGGTACTGGCTGCATGGCTTATGATTAACCATGTTCAATATCCAGCAAGAGAGCTTAGAGGCCCCAATTCTCCCATGACCCGTTAGGCTGGGTGACCCCCTCATCTGGGGTCTCAGAGTTTGTGTACCTGTAACACAGCACACAGCAGGCCACAGGGTCAACGAAAACTCAGCCAGTAAGTTGTTTGAGGTTGTTGGGTTCAAGAGCCCAAGCAACAGTGAGTCACCTAAGCTTCTAACGGACAAGAGTTTGGGGCAGAGGAGATAGTCAGGGACACTAGGGGGAAGCAGAAGGTGACGATCTTGTATCTAGGTGGAAGCCGGCCTGCCTGGAGCTGGCATTGGAGGCCTCCATCTCACTGCTGAAAGGGATCTGACCACAGGGGCTGTGGCTTTGAGAGGAATGTTGCTAAACACCATGAGTCACCCCTGGGGAAGTACCTAAAACAGGCTGCCTCATGAGGCCAGGTGGGCATTCCACCCCAGAGGCCACAACCCACTTTCCTAGGTCAACAGCTTGCAAGTTGGAGGGCACCAGCACCATCCCCTAAGGCATTGTCAACAAGCCCTGCCACCAACCTCATACACAGTTCAAGTTCAGACTCTAGATCTGTCACCACCCTCCCTGGCAAGATGATCGGTGAACAATTGGCCAGCAGACTGACAAACAGGTCAGACTACATCACTGTATCCCATTCCAAATGCCCAGGCAGTGGCCTGTCCCTGGCATCTCAGCCTTAGGCGGGAGCCAGAGCTATGCTCTCCTGAGACAGCCAGCCAGGCAGGCCTCTCGCTCTGCAGTTGACTGGAGGCTCACCCCGTCAGTATACAGAGTTAGGCATGCTTCGTGGACCACTGCCAAAGGCAACCACACCCAGTCAGTCCTTCCCTGGTTCTTCATCTTGAGACCAGCACTAGGCAATGTGGCTGGACAGAAGAAGGCACTGGAAGCATGAAAACTTTGGCCGATAGCTCAGACTGACTGTAAGTGGTTTCACTTACCATTCACTCATTCATTCAGTTAGTGTGATACTGTAGACCCCCCAACAGTATATACATATAGCCAGCCTGCCCTCTGTGCTTGCAAGGATTCCTTCTATACCAGAAGATTCAGCCAGCCCCAGTTAGAAAGCCTTCTGCAGGGGGGATTTCTACAGCTGTATAAAACATGCACAGATATCTCTCTTATGATTAATTGTAAGCAAGATAGCTCAGCTCTGCCTACCAACCATTCACACTGTGTTGTGTACCCAAGGAACCCAGAGCCTACTTGAAGGACGCAGGATGATATGTTCAGGTTATATGCAAACAATGCAATTTTAGACAAAGAACTCTGGGACAAACATCTGGAATTCGGGTATCTGAAAGGTACCCAAAAAACAATTACCATGAATATTAAGATGACTGTATTCTTCTAGGCCCTGAAAACAGAACATTACCATTC